TTACAGGTCCTCACTGTGTGGCAGGCATGGTGTTGGGCTCAGTATAGGGGACAGGGAAAATTGAGACCTATTTCTGCCCCAGCTGTAGTCCAAGAGCCCTTGCCTCTCATTCACAGTGAAACACACGGGCGGCATTTCCCTGATGTACATTTTGGGCAGCGCACCCTGTGTGTGACTTTCCAGTGGGAGAGGGTGGAATCCCTGGGAAACAAAGGCTTTGAGGTAGAAGGTGTATCTCGAGCTGGGCTCTGGAGGTGCAGGGATTCTCTGTGCAAGACAAACAGCATGAGCAAAGGCAAGGAGGTGGGAGTGAGGACTGTACAAAGAGGGAAGAGGGGGCAAAATGCCCAGCCAACAGACAGGGTTTCTGTTGAAGAGCGATAGGAAATGAGAACCAGTGGGTCTTCAAAATCCTTTCCCTGCACCCCTGCCTCACATCACATTGCCTTGCATGTGTAAAATGACAGTTTAGTAATATCTCCATTGACTGTTCCAAGCCACAATGGAGCCAAATAAACTACTATTTTATTTATTTCATGCTCACAGTGATGTTTATGAAGTAGTGTAGTTGCTTCTTATGGCTGCCACTGCAAATTACACAAACTGGAAGCCTTACAACAACGTAAACTCATTCTCTTTCAGTTCTGGAGGCCAGAAGTCGGAAATCAAGGTGTAGCCAGGCTTGGTTCCTTCTGGAGACTCCAGGAGCCTCTGTTCCATGCCTCCCTCCTGGATTCCGGTGGTTGCTGGCAGTCTTTGGCATCCCTTGGCTGGCATTGCTTGCATCACTGCAATCTCCATCTCCAGCTTCCATTGCATTCCCCTTCCCCTCATAGAAATACCTGAGACTGGGTAAGGTATGATGTTGTTCTCAGGCTCCCAGTTTGTGTAATTTGCAGTGACAGCCATAAGAAGCAACTCACATGGCCTCCATTTTTTGGAGACAGAGTCTCACTCTATCCTCACGGCTGGAGTGCAGTGGTGCAATCTCACCTCTGCCTCTGGGGTTCAAGCGATTCCTATACCTCAGCCTCCCAAGGCTCCCACTACCATGGCTGGCTAATTTTTGTATTTTTAGTATAGAAAGGGTTTCACCATGTTGGCCAGGCAGATCTCAAACTCCTGACCTCAGGTGATCCACCTACCTCGGCCTCCCAATGTGCTGGGATTACAGGCATGAGCCATCATGCCTGGCCCATCACATGGCCTTCTTGTGAGGATACCAGCCATTGGATTTAGGTCCCTCCCTAATACAGTATGACATCATCTTCATTACATCTACAAATACACTATTTCCAAATAAGGTCACATTCACGTGTTTTAGAGATTCGCATGTATTCACGTGTATCACATCCACATATCTTTTGCAGGAACACAAGTCAATCCTCAACAGGTGGGTACTTTACTACCTCTGTTGTATTTGTCTGTTCTCGCATTGCTATAAAGAAATACCTGAGACTGGGCAATTTTAAGAAAAGAAGTTTAGCTGGGCACGGTGGCTCACATCTGTAATCCCAGCACTTTGGGAGGCCAAGTGGGGGCAGATCACTGGGTCAAGAGATCAAGACCATCCTGGCCAACATGGTGAAACCCTGTCTCTACTAAAAATACAAAAATTATCTGGGCATGGTGGCATGTGCCTGTAGTCCCAGCTACTCAGGAGGCTGAAGTAGGAGAATTGCTTGAACCCGGGAGGCAGAGGTTGCAGTGAGCCAAGATCATGCCGCTGCATTCCAGCCTGGGCAACAGAGCGAGACCCCATCTCAAAAAAAGAAAAGAAAGAAAGAAAGAAAAGTTTAACTGGCTCACAGTTCCACAGTTCTGCAGGCTGTATAGGAAGCATGATGCCGGAATCTGCTCAGCTTCCGAGGAGGCCTCAGGAGACTTACAATCACGTTGGAAGGTGAAGGGGGAACAAGGTATCTCATATGGTGGGAGCAAGAGCAAGGTGGGGGCGCAGGTGCCACACAGAAGGATCTGCTCTCATGAGCCAATCACCTCCCACCAGGCCCCACCTCCAGCACTGGGGATTACAGTTGCACAGGAAATTTGGGCGGGGACACAGATCCAAACCATGTCACCTGTTGTATAGCTGAAGAAACTGAGGCACAGAGAGGAGAAGCAACAACCTCACAACATGCTCACGTGCAGATGGCAGGGCCTGGGAACCCACATGCCACCTGCACCATGGCCAATGCAGTACAGGACAGGGGGTGGTCTAGAAGCTAAGCCCACCACCCATCAGAACAAAGGATTGTTTTGTCTTATGCCAGTTTGCACTCACCTGTGTTCTAGAAAGGTGTGAGGCTGTTGGAATTTCCTCAAGTCCGAGGTGTCCCTTTGGGGCCCTAGAGGGAAGGGCCATTAGCCACATGGTAGGGGGTCTAAGACCCTGGCCACAGTGCCCTGTGGCCTTTACCCCTCTGGGGTCTCTTTCTCAGACAGACAGACTTTTAGTAAATATTCATCAATATCCCATGCCCTATGCTGGGTGCTAAGGGAGACTAAAGATGAACCAAAGCCTGCCCAAGCATGCAGGGCCTCCCCCTGTTTGGCCTCGGTGTGAGGGGATGCTGTTTGCATGGTCAGGAATGGAAAGGTGGCAGAAGGGGCAGGGGCTGGGATCAGGGGAGAGGTTTATTGCAAAGAAACAAGCATGACCCTTAAGGCTTGCTTATGATTTTACAAATCTGGGGTTTTAACAGTGAAACAGTCAGTGGGCCTCTGCATCTAGCACTGTGCTGCCCTGGCTGCCAAAGCGAAAGAGCTTGGTCCCTGCACTGGCAGCTGACCCGGCAAGCCGACTAGATGACAAGCCTTGTGGGGACGCTGTCTCAGGAAAGGAGTCCAGGGCTTGCGTAAGGTGCCAGGGGGCACGGAAGAGGGGCATCACTGAGTTTGTTTTCAAAGTTTATCTGTGTTCTACAAAGATGAGGGCATGCCTCCATGGGAAGGAAGGCCGCTGGCTGTTGAGTATGCCCGGTATGTAGGTTGGGCTTTCTGTGTACGTTACCACTAACCCACTCCAGGCATTCCTGAGGAAGGCCCTTCCTTCCATTCCCACTTACAAATGGAGCCTCCGTCTCCCCTCCCTGCTGCTGAAAGTCTTTTGGCCTGAGCCTCCCTTGGCCACGCCTGTGCTGCCCCTTGTGGAAGGAGTCGGCAATGCACCAGATGCGGACACTGGGTGGCGCTGGGGCGCCCGGGGCCACACCTACCTGTGAATTCCAATGCCACTGGCCGGGGTCTCTCAGACTTGAGTCATTTGTAGGCATCCTCCAAATACCTCCTGTACCATCATCTAGTTAATATTTTTCTTTTCTTTATATTCTCTTTTAAAACTTTATACCTATCCCAATGGGGAACCATGATTTCCTTGCCATAAATAGACAAATTATTTTTTTTTAATTATGTGAACTGTTGAGAACAGTTTGATATGCAGAAAGAAGGCAAATATAAAAACGAAGCTAATCGTACACAACACGTTGGTTCATGTGTCCCTGTAAGCATCTCAGAGACCTCTAATGCTGTGGGGTACTGTCGTGGGCTTTGAAAACAGAACCACAAACTGATGTCCCCTATGTATGTGTGGCTTTAGGGAAGGGCTCCTTTCCCTTTACAGGTAGAAGGACAGAGGCACTGAGGGGGAAAGGGTGCGCTCGAGGCCTCATTGTGCGTTCCAGGCTCAGAGCCGGACCTGGAAGCCGGGTCGTGCCTTCCCTCTCTATCACGTGGAAACTAGAACCTTGGGAGACTGAGACCACAGTGGGACGTCCACATGTTTCTTGGCCCCTCTGGAGCCAGAGAGCACTCATGTGGGGCTCCCACCTGCAGGGAGCATGACTATTCGGTGCGGGGAGTGCGAGGCTGAGTCAGGAGTTGTGGGAGCTGGTGCCTGCCGGGCACCAATGAACAGTGGGACCTCCAACAACCTGCTGAGCCCCTGTGAGCCCCTCGCCCTGGCTCTCCCAAGCAGAGCAGAGCGTGGTGCTGTGTTCTGCACTGGTCAGTCTGGCCCCGGCTTCGGGCACTGACAGTCACATCCTGGCACCCTGCCCCTCCAAGCAGCCACATCCACCCTGGCATGGATTTTGAACAAAAGCTTTGATCCCTCTTCCTTGCCAAAGCTATAAACGTTAGGGTAGCCCTTACCCTTGGGGGAGCTGTGCAGCCAATCAGGTTAGGTTCTAAGAGGCCCTGGAGATCTGGGTGAAAGGCCAGTGGCTCCACTGCTGTGTCCCAAACCTATGTTCCTCCTGGAGGCTGTGGCGGAACTGGGCAACACCTCTTCTGCTGGCCTCTCCTGGGCCTCAGAATTGCCAAGTTCTGAGACTGCTGCTTGGGATGACTGTGATCTATTAAAAATGTTTAATTCCGCATTGTAGTCTAGAACCTTCTGCGTTATTTTGCCAAAAATGATGAGTGTATATTAACACCAGCTATTCTAATAGTGATGTGGTTTGGCTGTGACCCCACCCAAATCTTATCTTGAATTATATCTCCCATAATTCCCGTGTGTTGTGGGAGGGACCCAGTGGGAGATCATTGACTCATGGGTGCAGTCTCCCACATACTATTCTCATGGTAGTGAATACGTCTCACGAGATCTGATGGTTCTATAAGGGGTTTTTCCTTCTGCTTGGCTCTCATTCTCTCTCTGCTCTGTGCCTTTCGCCTTCCACCATGATTGTAGGCCTCCCCAGCCACGTGGAACTGTGAGTCCATTAAACCTCTTTTTCTTTATAAATTATCCCGTCTCAGGTATGCCTTTATCAGCAGCCAGAAAACAGACTAATACAAATAGATAATCCCCTAAAATCTCAGTGGATTGACATGACGGAAGTCCATTTCTCACATACCTGAGGTCCAGCTGGCAGTTGATGTGTATGGGGCCACATACAACCCGGCATGGGACCCAGAATGAGCACGGCAGATGTGTCCCCTCTTTTCCCCCTTTTCCTTGGCAGAATACTCACCTCACCCAAGGCCCTTCTTGTCTCTCCCCAGTATCGTACCTGGAAGGCTCCGTTCTTGTGTTTGAGGACATCTTCAGACTGATTGCGTTCTACTGTGTCAGTAGGTGAGTAGACCCAGCCCTGCAGGAGGTCGTCTGGTTGCAGCAGACATCCTATGCAACCCTGGGTGGGTGCAGGGGACTTCGCAGGGAAGTCCCAGAGGGAGGGATGCAGCCCAGAGGATGCAGAGAGAGGGCACAGTCCCCTCTGGGAACCACAAGGGGACTTGAGGCTCTGAGAGGCTTTCTCACATTAGCTAATAAGAGCCCCTCCTTCCACACCTGCACCTGTGGCTCTCAACCTGTCTCCCAGCTTCCTGTGTTATCAGCTTCAATGACAGCCTGGAGTCCTGTGTGGACCAGTCCCCCATTGGAGGGGTTCTAGAAGGATCTTCCTGTAGGGGTAATAACAGGAGCTGATCCCCCTTCATGGGAGGTGGCTTGTGATTACTAAGCAGCTGCTGGGTGAAGTGGGTGTCTGCTAACCACCCTGAGAATTGTCTGTTTATTCAGAACTGGTTTGGGGTAAGAATTAAAAAATACATTTTGGTGCCGTAAGCCAATGACTTAAGCTACAGGATCTTAACAAGGGCTGGTGAGAGACTGGGTGTGGTGTGTTGGGGTCCAGCAGTGGGCTCCAGGCCCACAACTCCCTGCTGCCTCTGATGAAAACCATGCTCATCCTAGACCACCCCTCCCCAGCTGCCAGAACCCTCCTGAGTCCAGATGGGCAGGAAAGGTGAGGCTGATAATGTCACCGGTGGAGGATGTCCAGGTTCTTGCCTTCTTGAACAAAGAATTGGACCAAACACACAAAGCAAGAAAGGAACGAAGGGGTTTATTGAAAATGAAAGTAGACTCCACAGTGTGGGAGTGGGTCCGAGCATAGGGGCTTAAGGGCCCTCTTACAGAATTTTGGGGAGTTTAAATACCCTCTAGAGGATTCCATTGGTTACTTGGGGTACACCCTATGTAAATGAAAAGGATGAAGGAAAGTTACAAAGATATTTACTTGGCCTACGCCCTATGGAGAGGTTATTTCCTGTTTTAGCTGAAGTATGAATCGACCTATGTTCACTGCCGCCAGAACCTATTTTCCTGCCTCATCTCTTCCCTGAGAGATATGATCAATCTTTATGGGAGGCAGAGGAACCAGTGGTCTTTTTCTTTTCTATAACTGCTTCATGCTGGCTTGGGGCATAGTCTGTACCTATTGGGGATCAAGGAACTCTCATCTGCTCCGTCTGGTGAAGGCAGGGTAGCTTCTTGATGGCCGGGGTGGTGTCTTCACCTGGAACTGACTGGAGGCTTTGTTGCATGATCATCTGAAGCTTGATGTCTCTAGGTGAGAGGAAATGAATTTGGTTAAAAGATTTAATGGGAACTTCAGGGGGTGGCTACCTATGCTGTCAGGAATGTTTGTTATAGAGATTTGCAGGAGAAAAGAGCAAAACCTGGTCTGTTCTAGAATCTATGTGTTTCCTTAAAGCCTTAGCACAAGTGATTCCATTTTGGTTTGGTTTGGTTTGGTTTGTTGGGGCCTAGTGCATGAGCTTAGTCCAAAACAATGGCTTCCTAGAATTTTGTTTAAAAAAACTCCCCCTTTTTGGTTAAGTTCTCACTTAAGTGAGAGTGTGACCAAAACTTAGCGTCTTAACACCACTCTCAGTTACCGTCATTTTGGGTTTCCAGTCTCAGCATGTCATTCATAGGATACGGTGTCTTCCTGGTCACACACTTCTTTCAGCTCCTGTTATTCCAGCTGAAGAGAAACCATGTGACATTCTAGAGATGGCTGCATGCAAGCATTCAAAACCTTTGAGAGAATCCAGCTTACCAGGGAGACCCATTATTATGACTGTTGGGAGGACAATAGTGAGAAATTGGAGTGTGCTCCTTACCCAAGGTTGCCGTAAACCAAACCTCCTGAAATCAAATAGATCAAAGCATGACTTAACTAAGCAGTTTCTCTGTTAATCCCCTACCACTGAATTTCTATAATCTTCATTTAATGTATTTCTCCAGAGGCCACAAGTGCCAGCAGCTGCACAGATACTTCTTTGTTCAGCCAAGTCTATCATAACTTTCACAAGAGAATTTGAAGTCTGTTGTGTAGCTGTAGCCTTTACAGTAGAATCTGCTATAGAGCCTATCATGAGGAATACATTTCTAATCATTGCTTCTTTCCCTTTAAACCATGGGAAAAGGGCCAAACAAATGATGCCCTTGTAGAAGAGTGAAGGCCACCTGGCAGTGTTCTCTTTAACCCGTGATGTGGGTTAAGAAGAATGAGCCAATGTTTTGTTTCTGACTGATTATGAGGCGACCCTAATGAGGTACCATGAAAGTTTTTTTTTAAAACCTACATTGCACCTTTATCCTTTATCCATCAAAGTATAAGTTTATCCATGTATAAGGCTGGCTGCAAACCCCTTCGCAAATAAAACTGCACATAACAGACCCTTTTCCATGTCTATTGTTCATAGAGGCATAAGCAAGGGAAAATATTCAAAGATAAGAGTTTCATGATAGTAGAAGCCTTAACCTGTGAACTTGGGAAGAGCTGTTTGCTTCAAGGATTCCATCTTCTGGGGAGAAACCACCCTGTTAGCCTTACCCCAAGGGTTCCAATGGCTGCACAGCTCCAAGAGCGTGGAGGGACCCTTCTCAGTTGTGAGGTTGTGAACCCAAAGTTTAAGGTCCCAAAGTTTTGTTGCAGTGTGGATGGCAAGGACAGTCTTTCTCTGATGTTCTCAGAAGATCCAAACTATAAAAAGCGTTTTTACCTGGTGAAAATACACTGTAGCATAATAATCTACTGTTATAACATCAACCCGCCTGCATGGGAAAGCTTTCATACAACCAGAACACGTGCACTGAAAATAACAACGGAATGAAATCCCTTTATAAAATGTTTAAATGGCTCATCAGGTGACCAAATCTACCTGAAGCTTTAATTGTTTTCCCAGGAAGATGTGATCAAGCATTGATTATAAACTATTATAGTAATTTATAAGTCACTACATCAATGTATTCGATTTGCATCATTTTATCTTTTCCATGGTGAGTCATGGAATGCAGAACTTTTAATAGTAAAAGCTGCAAGGACTCAGGAAGGACAAGATGGCCATGCTGGTTCTCCACGAGGCCATGCTTTATTAACATTAGACTTACATCCTTTGGATACCAGTTGTTTTTCCTGATTAGGTACATAGCACTGACAAGAAAATTTGGTTATTTTTGTGGTTTATAGTAACTTAACATAATAACCATAATTGTAATTGATAGCATATACTTAGACATTAAAATGTTAGAAATCCCATATAATTTTGGAACATATATTACTATTATTCACAAAAATATAACCCCAAAAAAATCGAACATCATTTGGCAATCCCATGTACCTAAACGTGTCAAATAACCCTGTTTACCTCCTTTGTGGATGTTTTCAGGGACCCTCTGATCCATCCAAAGAGTCAGACCTTAGGAAAGACAATTTTGAAACTAAAGTTTGATTTTGGAATTCCAGAACACTATAAATTATTTATTTTGCCAAAATGGCTCAGAAATTTTCAAGCACTAAAAACTTTTTATAACCTTTTACAAAAAAAAAAAAAAAAAAAAAACGCATTCTACTGTTCTTACTTTGCATATAAAACTGTTTCTAGTAGTCTTAATTGCATGTTATAATGGCAAATCTTAACATAAAACCTGTTAAGTTATGTTCTGACGAGGTTTGACTATTCCCAGCATAGCTAGAGCCAACTCCACCTGTCCGCAGGCCTTTACCTAGCTGGAAAGCAGGCAAGTTAAACAATTTTTAAAAGCCAAAGAAGTGGCTATTTGGAATTGGAGAGGACAGGCCTGGAAGGAAAAGGTCTAGCTATGTTAATAGGGATTCTTTACAGATGAGAATTTCCCCCCACAAAGGACGGCTTTCAGGGCCATTTCAAAATGTGACCAAAAAACGTGTTTTGGGGGAAAAATATTTTTATTTTCTTCTTTGTCTCGTAATGTTATGCCAGAGTCAGGTTGGAAAATAAGTCACACTATATAGGGTTAAATGAAACCCATCTGATGAGAATTTTATGGTTTGTAGGGCATGGCTCCTCAGACCCCTTAGATAGGCATTTGGACACTATTTCAAAAATCAGAGTTTAGTCCTCGTTACTTTAATCAAGACTAACAGCTTTAACTATAAAAATGTTAGTTAACCAAATGTCTCCAATTCTTTATCAGGTCTTAAAGAATGTTTTATTATTTAAACTTTGTCCACATCTTTCTCCCCTATTTAATGGTTCCTTGCTATATTGTTTCATAAATAATCTTTTCAGATCTGTAATTTGAACTAACTTTTAGATAATTTCTGAAATAGGCAAAATTATTCTTTTTTTTTCCACTAATAACATAACCCTTTCTGGCACACTTTGTATATGAAATTACATGTTAACTAGAATTTTTATCCTTAGTAACTTAAACTCTTACTGAAACCCTAAAAAGCAAGAAATCCTGAACTATTAGATATGGGCATTTATAGACAAGAGCAATTCCACAATTTTAGAAACATATTTCCCCATATCACAACCTTTTTTAACTGGAAATGACTCAGATAGTAAATGAGCGTCAAAAATAACTTTAAGAATTTGATTTACACAAAAAGTTTACCTAAAATATTTATCCCATTCACTGTACTTATTTTTTTACTTTTAACAAGGGAGACAGGTGACATCGATCAACATACGTAACATGAACACTGGTTGGGTCAGGAAAGGTGGGACAACTTAAGGCAGGGAGGGGACTTGGGGGCTTTCAGATCACAGGTAGGTGTGAGACAAATGGTTGCATTCTTTTGAATTTCCCATTACTCTTTCCAAATAGGGCAATCAGGTATGCACTTAACTCGTGAGACTTTGAATAGAATGGGAAGCAGGCTTGCTCCAAGCAGCTGCCAGCTTGAATTAACAATGACATTTTAAAATATCTAGCAAAGGGAAATATAAAATTCAGACAAAATGTGTGTTGACAATTCTGAAGGCATTTGTTTTTATTCCACCAATAATTTTTAAGCTAACTTGTTTAGTAAAGTTATTCTTAAGAAAAGTGAACCTGAAAATTGCTCAGACTTACTTATTAGCACTCTTCTACCTACAAGTCAATTTTGGTTGACACGACATGTAACAACAAATGTATACACACATACACACAACTAGACATGTATACACATGCATAAACGCAGATGCGATAGCTTGGAACTTTAGCCATGAGATAACAATACAAGCTCGCTGGTTTTACTTTGCCCCAATAGATAATCCAATGAAATCTATGAAACAAAATTTCGGGGAAAGCAGTCTTCATGGCAGTTTGATTTTTAAAGAGCAAAACTCCCCGGACTCTAAAGAGGACTGGGGCCAAAGAAAAGGAGGGAATCACACATTGACCAGGCCCCATGCTTAGAACAGCAGTGTGAGAAACAAATTGTCGGTGCCGTAAAGTGAAACCAGCGCTCAGGCAAAAGTTTTCTCAACAAGGCAATTTACTTCTATAGAAGACGCTTCTGCATGCGAAGCAGAGGTAAGGGAGAGCATGCCAAAACAAAGGAGAGCAGTTTTTATCCCTGACGCAGACCCTGTTCCTGTATCCTCCCCTGTGGGCTGGGGTCAGACCGCACAATCTAGGCTAATTCCGATTGGCTACATCAAAGGAGGTAAGGGTGGGTGATTGACGGGGAAGACAAATACGGTACATCTGGGGCATATTTAGGCACAGCAGAGATACGGAGGGCTAATAGATGAAAGGGTAAGATTACCTTTTAGAATAGAACAATGAACCAGGAACCGAAACCCTTTGAAGAGGAACTATTTGTTCTTAACAACAATTTCCCCCTCTTGAATTTATACATTTTCTTCTTTAAACTTATCTAACATGGCTCGTCTTTGTAGTTCTTTCATGACGAAGAGCTTATCAGTATAGGATTTGGAAGAAGTAGGGAAGCTTTTGCTGACAGCTGTTTCCACAAGTCTTTGGATCAGTCCACGAATGCAGGGAATAATGCAGCATCCAACAAAAACAAGCACAGCCATTGCGACTGCAAGAGAGCTAAGAATAGAGGCAAAGAATCCTTTCCATTTACCAAACCATTTCTCTAACCATCCTGTGAAAGGGTCATTTATCCCAGAATTTGTGGCCAATTCATTTGATAAGGAGGTAAGAGCATGTAAAGCTTTTGTAATTGTTCCATTAGGAGCTGTGTTGTTGGGAATGAAGGTGCAGCATTGGGCTCCTATCATAACACAAACTCCACCTTTTTCTGCTAATATCATATCTAGGGCCATTCTGTTTTCCCACGCCATCTGGCTAGTAGGTGCTAATTGTTCAGCTATTCCTTTGATAGCATCCGTAGTGTAATTTATAAATCGCTGTTGGTTATAATAGATGTAATTTATCCAATCTACATTTTTATTAATAGATATCCATGGAAGTAGGGATTCAAATCCTGCAGCTATTTGGTTTCGGGCTTTGAATCTATCAGGCACCCCCCGTGGGACTCCAATCGAATCTATATAGACATGAGAGTCAAAAGATCCAAGGGGAGCCGCTCTCGTTTTACGGTGTTGTAGTTTCTCTTTTTCTGTTTCATGAAATGCCAGGGTGAAAGGGATGACCAACTGAATTAGAGCACAAGTGCCACTCCAGTTACTTGGCAGAGTGTCCAGTAGGGGTCCACCACAATACCACCATACATCAGCTCGGGGATGAACAAGGGCAGACTGATTGGTAAGCTCTTGGAAAGGCTTCACCTCACTGCATCCCTTTAGGTCTCCAAAGAACGCCAGATTTTCTCCATGTCGTGAGAGACACGAAGTAAAATTGGTGTCTGGAGATGGAAGCTGGATGGCCCTCGGCAGCTGACCCACAGAGTGTTGAACTTCAGGGAATAGCAGAGAGAGAGCTTGACAGAATTCATTACCCCAGGCTGTGGGGTGTTGGAAAAGAGCTACCATACAGCTCATGCCCACTTGGTCAGAAGACCATCCAAGTGGAAAGGGGACAATTTGGGCCTCTGGCCTACCGCGTGCACAAACATAACAGTCGCTTTTGTTTAGAGTGCGAACGGAATATTCAATCCATTCCATCCAGGCATTTACATCCTGATATCCTGTCTCAATTGCCAGTGTTTGTTGTAAAGTTTTAACCTCTACAATAGCCACTTTGGTCCTGTCATTGGGTGGAGATGAAACGACAGTCTGGTTGGCAGGTCGAGAAGAGGTTGGAGGTGGGGACTTGGCGGGTGGGGGTGCAATGAAGTCCAATCTGAAGACTCCTATGGGGTCTTTTCCTGTTACATCTACTCCCATACCATATAAACGGCTTAGGGTTGGGGAGGAATCCTGGAGAGTTGGGATGGTGATGGAAATTTGCACCGGGTTACATTGGTTATATTGACAATCGGGAGGGGCACTTCCTTTAGTAAAATGGATATAGGGCTTTAGAACTGCTAGCGGGAAATCCCTTGAGGGGACCCAGTCTTGACTTTGAGTGTTCCAAACAACATATTCCCAAGTATGACATAATGGGTACCTAAAAAACCTGGAAGCATCTACTCTGGAGGGGCAGAGATATTTCTCTGCTGCTGCAAGCTCTCTCTGGCTTTGGAGATCCCCACAAGGCACAGCTAAACAAGCATCAAAGGCGATGATCTGGGGTGAGTCTGATCTAGTTACATTAATAATGAGGTAGCTAGTAACAGAACAAGGAAAGAAAAAGGAGTAATAGAATAGAGAAAAGAGAGTTAAACTTTTCTTAGCTTTAGTTTGGTAGGATTTTCTCCTGGGACTATGGCCCATGACCCCGGAGGGGCCGGTGCTTTCTTGACTTGGGTGTGGTGGGTCCATCCTTTCTCAGCAGTTCGGACTGCAGTTTCAGTTGTTAGGAGCACTAGATATGGTCCCTCCCAGGACGGTTCAAGCTTCTCTTCTTTCCAGCTCTTAATGAGGATGTAGTCTCCAGGCTGGTGCTGATGGACTGGAAACTCAAGAGGTGGGGTTTGCATCAAGAGACCTTTAGTCCTAAGGGATGATAAGATACAAGACAGACCAAGTATACAGTTCCTAAGGAACTGATCTTTAGTCTCAAAAGTGAGAATATCACTAGTGAAACTTAAATATGGTAACCCATAGTTCGAGTGGCAGTTCGGATCCTGAGTAGAATGATGGGAAGACACTTAGCCTGGGTAATCAAGTTTCTAAAATTAACTTAGTTAGAGGATTCTTTAAAGTCTGATTCATCCTTTCTATTCTTCCTGATAAGGACAGATGCCAGGGGTTATGGAACTCCCATTTGATTCCTAAAGCTTGGGTAAGCCCTTTAATGTTATTTGCAATTAAAAAAAAAAAAATGGGTCCCTTGTCTGAGTCAGTGTCTTCTACTGGCCTGAATGGGGGAATTATGTTCTCTAGTAATAATTTGACCACAGTATTAGCTGTTGAGCTGAGGAGGGGAATGGTTTCCACCCAATGAGTGAGGTGGTCTACTATTACTAATAGGTATTTAAGGTGACCTAGTGGAGGCATTTCAGCATAGTCAACTTGAATGCTTTGAAATGGCCTCAATCCTGGGCTTCTGCCCCTAAAAGGTCGTTTTCTTAGGGCCTGCTTATTAGTTTTCTTACTCTGGGACGGATATCTGCCCTAAGACTTGTTCAAGAATTGGGCCAAACAGGTTAGGAGAGTCTGTAAATCCTTGGGGCAAGCCCATCCAGCAGTATTGTTGATTTCGCCCCGAATGAGGATCTTCCCATTTAAAAGCATGTATGTCTCCGCTGTCTTTGGGCATCCTTTAAATCTATTACTGTGAAACCACTGATGGTCATGTGGAATCTTGCTGAGGATAGTGTAAGGATTGGGGACAGCAGGGTGAGTAGCTTGGAGTATTTGGTTAATGGCCCGGAGGTCTTGTACTAGCCCATATGACCCATCTGATTTCTTTAGAGGTAATGTAGGGACATTATATGGAGACGTAGAGGGCTCAATAACTTATCCTGATATCCTGAATAAGACCTTCCATTACAGTTTTGAAGCCTATCCTGCCTTCTAGAGGAATTAGGCATTTCCTTCTCCTTACTATTTCCCTAGGGGTTTTCAACTTTATATGAATTGGGGGGATTCATAGTTTCCCTTGGTTCCCTTCTTTTGACCATACACTGGGGTGAATGTAACTTTCTCTGGGGGTGGTGAGCAGGTTCAATGAAGTGAAACATCCTTCAGGCCAGGCATGTAGGCCTATTCCTAGTTTTAACATCAGGTCCCTTCCTAACAGGTTTGTCCTGCTTCAGGGATTAGCAGGGATTTAATACTAGCTGATCGATTTTTGTATTTAACTTCTATTTCTTCTACAACTTTGGCTTTCAATCCTTCCCCTCTCACTCCTGAGGCAAGAAGTTCCTCTAATGACTTTATACTAGAGGGCGTATAGCAAACAGAGGAGTGAGCAGCCCTAGAATCTATTAAAAAGGTGGTAAGCTCATGTTTGGGTCCCACCTCTAAGTCTGTCAAGGGCTCTTGGTGGGTCTTTAGAGAAAAGACAGAGCCCCTGACTCCCTGTTCCTCCTCGAATGCCGTGAGCGGTCTCTTTTTCCTTTCCTTACCCGAGGCATTCTCTTTCGAAGGGGCCTGCTCTTCCACATCCGAAGCCCTTACCCCATCCTTCCTCTCCCTCAGTTCTAGGAGTCTTTGGCCTTGTTCCCCCATATGCTTTAGAGGGCCTGGTAGCTGAGGGTCTGGGTCCCTTAGTTGGAGGCCTGGGTTCTCCAAACAGAAGTTTGGACCCTTTATAATTCCTGGCCCCCCGGAGTCTCTCTTTAGAAGCGTATGGGCTTGAAGCCATCTGTTGGAAGCTGGATAGCGTAAGTTTCGTTTTTTGTTTTTGCTTCTCTTCATCTCTCCTCACATAAACTTTTTGGGCTTCCCCTAGGAGTTCCTCTATGGACTGGTTTTTCTAGTTTTCTAGTTTCTGCAACTTCTTTGCAATGTCTGGCCAGCTATTTGTGACAAAATGTAGCTTTAGCATTCCTTGCTCGAGAAGGTCTTCTGGATCTAAATCTGCATAGTTCCTCATTTGTTCCTTTAGTCTTTCTAGAAATTTCATGGGGCCATGATCTTTTTCCTGCTGCATGTCAAATGCTCGGGAAAGATTCTGAGTGCAGGGCACTGATTCCCGAATTCCTTTAATTATCATTTGTCTAAGATCTTTCACGTTTTCTCAGTGGACTGCGTTGTTATTATCCCATTGAGGATCTAGGGCCAGGAATGCTGGTCTGCTGTGGGAACATTTTGGCCGGGAGGGTATTCACGTTCCCATATTGTCATAGCGGTCCTGCAAATTATTCCCCTTTATTCCCCTGAGAAGAGGATACCCAGGACGGACATCAATTCAGCCCAAGCATATATAACTGGGGGCCTAGGAATTGATGAGTTTGGTCTGCTACCCCTTATGGGTCATCTAGCAGTGGCTTAAGCTCTTTCTTTAAACCTCAAACCTCTGAACTAGTCAAAGGAGCATTTTACAAAGCCAACAGCTCCTTCTCCCTGGGGCACCTCTCTCAAAGAGAAGAGAGTTGGAGCTGATTCTGTAGAGGCAGAGGGAAAAAGAAGATTTTGAAAGTCTTTTTTACATTGCTCTACTTCCTGCAGTAGTCCCTTGAGGGAAGGATACTTAGGCTGACCAGGAGCAGACTCATGGGGCGGCAGTAATTCCCAAGAGTCAGGTTATAAGGGGGATGAATAATAGGAGTAGGAGAAGGATCTAGGACTGCGTCCAGGGTGGCAGCAGCTGCCTGGGGAGGGGGCAGGTAAATTGGGGGGGAAATTAAATGGAGGAAGGTGGTTTAGAGGGTCCCAGGCATGGGATCCTTCTGCCTAGGGGTTGGTTTTACTACGCCTACTTTGGGGAGTGTGACATCTAATCCTTCGCCTGCATTCTTTAGGGGAAAAAGGGGAACAGGTCCTTTTCTCCAGCAGAGAGCATAGTCTATTTCTTCCTGCAAGATCAAACTTTTGACATTCACATACTAAATTAAAAGTTGACAGACCCAATCCTCATCTGATCCAAATTTTGGCCAGAAGACTTCAGGTTTGAGGATGGATTCCTTGGTCCAAATGCAGCAACAGTATTTTATCATCTGTTGCTTTTTCTTGCACCTAGTCCTCTCATTTTCTTTCCAATATTTTAGCATGAGATCTAAAGGACTATCAGAGGGGATCCGACTGTCCCCATACTTCCCTGTCTTACTGGGAGTGTTTCCCATCTTGGAGTTTTTGGATGCTCCCTCGAGTGTATGTGTGGCTCAACCTCTCTCACAAGAGATCTCTTGCCTTCCCTTTTCTCTAGAGACAGCCTCCCTCCACCCAACTGGAGGTTCCTTGCCCTCATTTCCGTTCGCTTCGTCCTATCTGGCTGCTTCCTCTTGGGAAATTAAGTCCTTCTTAGCGTTGGTGTGCCAGTATAGCCCCATGGATGGCACATGAGGTGACCATGGAACCGCAGATAGGACCCACTCACTCCACACAGCAGTAGTCCTTATCACCAATCACACAAGCAGCACTGCACTGACCATTCACACACACCTTCCACCTGGGGAGGGAGCAGGTCAACCAAGGAAATACTTCGCCACCCCTGTGGCTTTTCTTACCTTGGTCTGTGCACAGAGTTTTCTGGTCACCGCGGAGTTCATAGGAAGCCTTTGCTTCTCAGGTTGCTAAGAGTCCAGGTTTATTCGTCACAGCAAGTGGGGTCTTGATCTCGAACCCCTGAGGCCACCACAACGAGGCAGTGGGACAGGTCTACGCCGGGAGATGACCAGAGACTCCTTCCGCAGAGGAGAATGGGAATCCCAGGCAAGCCTCCAGATTGTTAGAAACGAACTGTCGTTGCCACAAAGTGAAATCAGCACTCAGGCAAAAGTTTTCCCAGCGAGGCAATTTACTTCTATAGAAGGGCGCTTCCTGCATTCGAAGCAGAGGCAAGGGAGAACGCGACAAAACAAAGAAGAGCATACCAAAACACAGGAGGGCGAGCCAAAACAGAGAACAGCTGCCAAAACAGTGAGAGCGAGGGTTTTTATACCCGGCACACGGCTGTTCCTGGGTCCTCCACCGTGGGCTGGGGTCGGACCGCACAATCTAGGCTAATTCTGATTGGCTACTGTTGACCTCATCAAAGGAGGAGGACAGGACAGGACATCTTGGGTGTGTTTAGGCACAGCAGAGATAGGGAGGGCTAACAGATGAATGGATAAGATGACCTCTTAGAATGGAACAAAGAGCCAAGAACCAAAACCCTTTGAAGAGGAGCTATTTGTTCTTAACAACAGCAGCACACGTGGGATCCATGCAACGCTATCCCACTTTCCCAGTTGACAGTAAACTCCAGATTCCAAACAATTTGGGGGCCAAGCAGCATTGCAACTGCAAGAGAAAATTCTAAGGGGAGCTCAGTACTAGACCTCAGAACCTCTGCTAAGAGCATCCCTTTGAGGAAGCTGAGGTCTATAGGATTACCGAAGGCATCCTCCTGCGGGGTCTACTCTTAAAGTGTCAGATGTCTCTGACCTTAGGTGGGCACTGGCACCACTTCGAGAGCCTGCTGTGAGCTTTCCTTTGGCACCTGGGTGTAATCCCCGACTTTTAGCATCCTTCTAATTTGATAAGGACACGCTTTCCTAGGCTTCCCGTTCCATGAACTTTAATGATAGGAACCGGAGGCTGGGTGGGTTTCTTTTGCCCTTAGCCAGTTGAACAGGAGAAGGGAATAATTTAGTATACAAAAAGATGGTTTAAGTCCTGAAATATGCAAATTTGCTCCGAGCTGCCACCCGTAGGGATCAGGGATCAGGGACCACACTCGGAATAGATTTAAAAAAAAAAAAAAAAGAATCCTTCCCCATTCTGGACAGGGCAATTATTCCATTCATTCCTGGGCCTTCAGACAATACTGGTAAGTGACCCCAGTGAATTACCCTCAATTACTAAGGAGCTACTGGGAAACAGCCACTGAAAGGCTGAAAAAGAGAGGGGGAGAAAAATGAAAAAGACCCTGGTCCCTTAAGTGAACTGGGCGCTGGGCGGTGGCAGCTAGGCTTCTCCACTGGAAACCCCTTAGTTTCACTGGCCATTGCCAGAAACCTGCAGTTGCTTCTGTATTTAGGCACTGCCCACCAAGGGTCCCGAGTTGGAAAGGAAAAAAGAGAGAGAGAGAGAGAGATTCTCCTGTATGGAGCAGAAAGGAAAAGGAGAAAGGAGAAAAAGAAATCTCAAACTTTGGGCTTACCTCTTCCCCCTGGCTGGCCTGCCAACATATGTCACTGGTGTAGGGTGTCCACGTTTTTGGCATCTTGAACAAAGAACTGGACAAAACACACAAAACACAGAAGAAATGAAGGGTTTTATTGAAAATGAAAGTACATCCACAGTGTGGGAGCGGGCGCAAGCATAGGGGCTCAAGGGCACTGTTACAGAATCTGGGGGAGCTCAAATAGCCTCTAGAGAATTCCACTGGTTACTTGGGGTACACCTTATGTAAATGAAGAGGATGAAGTAAAGTTACAAAGTCATTTACTTGACCTACACCCTGTGGAGAGGATATTTCCTGTCATAGCTGAAGTGCGAACTGGCCTTACGTCCCCTGCCTCCAGACCCTATTTTCCTGTCTCAGTAATAGTTGCTGCTAACAGCTGCCGCCTCTAAGGGCACACCAGGTACCTGGTGCTGTGCTAAGGGCTTTTATGGCCATTCTCTTTTGAAATCTTGCAAACAGTTTCAGGAGGTAAATGCTCACACTATCCGCATGTTACGGATGAGGAAACTGAGACTGAGAGAAGTCACTTGCTCAGCTGGTAAATGGCGGCAGGGTAGGGTTTCAAAGCAGATACAGCTCCAAAGTGCAGACTCTGTGCTACAGAGGCCTCACTGTGTGCTTCCCGCAATAATTCTGATGAGCTGACAGGTCCCTGTAGGCCCACAAGGAAAAAAATCAGAAGCCTCCTGGCCCTTGGCACGTTATGACACATTCGGCTCTCAGAGAGGCCGGTTCCAAGTTCTTAACCATAGTGGAAGAAGCCTAGCAGCGTTTGACACATGCTATGTGCTGTGAATGAATGAATGAGGATATAATGGCAAAGCCCAGAACTTGAGCTTGTTATTCAATCTCTCTGAGCCTCAATCTCCTCTTCTGTCAAATTGGAATTATAATATCATAACATTGGTGCTGGAGGAAGGAATAAGGTAACACAGGTAAAGAGACAGCACTGACCCAGTGCAGAGGCTCACACCTGTAATCCCCGCACTTTGGGAGGCCGGGGAGGGAGGATCATTTGAGGTCAGGAGTTCTCAAGACCAGCCTAGCCAACATGGTGAAACGCCATCTCTACTAAAAATAGAAAAATTAGCCAGGTGTGGTGGCACATGCCTGTAATCCCAGCTACTCAGGAGGCTAAGGCAGGAGAATGGCTTGAACCCAGGAAGCAGAGGTTGCAGTGAGTCGAGATTGTGCCACTGCACTCAAGCCTGAGTGACAAGGCAGGACCCTGTTTCAAAAAGAAACAGCACCCTGCCCCACACCCAGTCAGTGCCCTTATTCTACTTCCACAAACTGGGCCATAGGGGTTTTCTGGAGCAGAGACTTCGTCTGTGTCCAGGGAGCTCTGGAGCCATAGTCACCAAGCTTACTGCTGTCACCTCTCAACCTTTCCTCCATGTTCCAGAAAAGCAGGTGCCCCTGGGCCTTCCCTCAAACTCCCAGGGTACTCTCAAGGAGGCCACAGGGCACAGAGCCTGGCATTACCATATTTTGGGGGGTGTCAGCTCCAAGGCCTGATTTTGTGAGCAGCTCAGAAGTGAGATACTGTGGGAGGGAGAGCCCTGGGCTGAGAGTTGGAGAGCCATCACCTAGGATAGCCTCTGACCCTGTGTGAGTCACCTGACCCCTCCTGGCCCCGGTTGCCTCCCTCATCAAGGGGATGTTAGCCAAGATGGAACACTCAAGTTCTAGAGCTCTGTGGTTGTGCAATTCTAAGTCCTGCCCTACAGACTCCTCCAGAGTCAAACTCCTGGAGGCGCAGTGAGTGACATCCCAGAGGTATGTCATGTGCCTTGTGTCACCTCCAGAACATGACACAGAGGGGTGTTTCAGTGGATGCTTGTCAGTCCTGGTGTTTAGTTAGACTATGCCAAACCACCGGCCTGGCCCTGAGCAAGCCCACCCAGGCCCTTTCCCTTCCCAGACCCTCTGGTCAGTGAGCACTGGGGGCCTGTGGCTGGGCTGGGAGCCTATTCCTGGAGATCATTCTCCAGGACACCATGGCAGGCCCCAGAGGGCCAAGCTGCACAGTGAAAATTCTCCAGAGCAGGACGCCCCCGTCCCTCCCAGTCTAGCACTCAGGAAGCACAGCTGTGATCTGTCAGCAGCCTCTGTCCCCCAGAAGTAAAAAAGGGGACAGGCTCTGCTTTGAGATGCTCACCCCAAACCTAATGCAAAGCCTACGTGGACTGGCATGAGGACTCTAGAGAGGGTTTCCAGACGGGGCTGGCTCCCACCGTCACCAAAGAGCTGGTTAAAAATACAGACTCCTGGGGTCTATCTAGGAGATCCTGACTCAGTGGCTCTGGGGTGGGACACAGGAATCTATATATTTTTTTGAGTTGGAGTCTCACTCTATTGCCCACGCTGGAGTGCAGTGGCATGATCTTGGCTCAATGCAACCTCTGCCTCCCAAGTTCAGGCGATTCTCCTGCCTCAGTCTCCCAAATAGCTGAGACTATAGGCACACACCACCCCCACCCCAGCTAATTTGTTGTTTTTTTTTTTTTTTTTTTTTTTTTTTTTTTTTTTTTTTTTTTTTTTTTTAGTAGAGACAGGGTTTCACCATGTTGGTCAGGCTGGTCTTAAACTCCTGACCTCAAATGATCCACCCACCTCTGCCTCCTAAAAGTAGGAATCTGCATTTATAATGAGCCTGTCTCAGACCAGGGTTTGAGAACTGCTTCCGGGTGAATGATACCAATTGCTTAGCTAGGGGTCTCTAGGGGCAAACTTTGGGACAGGATTCATATCCAAGGGATGATTCAGGACTTGCCCTCGAGGAAAAAGCAGGAGGGAGTAGGGGAGCAGGACGGGGAGTGGGAGAAGTCCAGTGAGGGTGCGCCTGCAGGGTGAGCCCAACCTCAGCCTGGTCCTGTGGGCAGCTCTGGAGCATAAAGTAAATCTGGGGCCACCCTAGGCATGTGCGAGGCTTCAGCACCAGAACAAGCCGTGATGGTCCCAAGGGCCAGCACTTAGGGCAAACCCCACTGAGGCTAGTGGGTGGGTGTGTAGAGCTGGTAAAGCCATCGGGGGGTAGAGTGTCAGCAGTGGCTTGGTGACTGGCTCCTGCTGATGGGGCATCTGTGCTGGGTTAGGCTTTGTGCTGCGACTGCCCAGAGCTGCCTCTAACCCCTACAGCAATAACACCTTTAGGGAAGGGATTACCATCTGCAGACACACTTCAGTGATGACAGCCCCCAACGCTGTGCTGAGGGTCAGACCCAGTGATCCTTGGAAGGGGTTTAGCAGAGTGCCTGGGACAAAGTAAGGGCTCAAAAAACCATCAAGCATGTTCTTATTGCTGTTATAGATAAAGAAACTGAGGCAGCTGGGCATGGTGGCTCACACCTGTAATCCCAGCACTTTGGGAGGCCAAGGTAGGTGGATCACCTGAGGTCAGGAGTTCAAGACCAGCCTGGCCAACATGGTGAAACCCCATCTCTGCTAAAAATACAAAAATTAGCTAGGCATGGTGGCACGTGCCTGTAATCCCAGGTACTTGAGAGGCTGAGGCAGGAGAATTGCTTGAACCGGGACCTGGGAGGTGGAAGTTGCAGTGAGCTGAGATCGCACCACTGCACTCCAGCCTGGACTATAGAGTGAGAAGAAACAAGAGAGAAACTGAGGCTGGGGATGTGAACTACCCCAGTGTCACAGCCAAATTCTGAACTGATTTGAACCCAAGTGTGTCTGAGCTGCAAGCCCCAGCTGCTTCTGCCCAGGAGGCTGACTGCCGGGCCTGTGGCTGGGAGGATGCCTGTGCTGTCCCGTGCCAGCTGCTCCCTCCACATGTGGGAGACCTGAGGTCCTCTTTATGGAAAAGTGATGTTGGGAGCCAGCCAAAGAAGGGCGGGAAGGGAATTTAAGGCAGAGAAGACAGCATGGGCAAAGGCCTGGCAGTGGGAAAGCTGTGAGCAGCCTCAGGAGTGGCTTCATGGCAGAACCGCATAATGGGTGGCAGATGAGATGCTTGGAAAGCCTCGAACACCTTGACTGGAGGTTGCAGGGACTTCCTACTGCAGGTGCTGTGAGCCTGTTGCTGAAATCATACTGCTCTTCAGCGAGCGACCCGGCCATAGCAGGTGGTGGGATTGGAGGAAGGGGAGAGCAGAGACCAGCAAGGGGCTGCTGCGTCCATGCTGGCCCTATTCCCCAGACAATAGCCAGGGGAACCAGAGGGATGAGCGCAGCCACCGAGGGAGGCGGCAGCGGGAGATGGGAGATGCTGGGGTTTCCATCTTTGATGATAGGAGAACGAACAGGCTTGATGGTTTCTTGAGTATTTACTTGGTGCCAGGTGCTCTGCTCAGCACCTTGCAAGGATCATGGGGCCTGATCCGCAGCACAGCCCTGGGCACTGGAGTCATTGGCCTCAAGATGTGGGCGCCATTACCCAGAATGAGGAAGGAAGAGAGGAGCCTCTCAGGCCTGCCCCACCCTAGGATGTGCCCAGCATTGTGACTAAGCCACCACCCTCCTGTCCCGGAGGAGGGGATGGCAAGAGGAGGGGATGGCTGGCTGGGCATCCTGGCCCTAGAAGAAATCTCATGGCTGTGCCTGGGAAGCTCTGATCTGTAGCTGGCGGGTCAGAAGCGCTGGTGGCCTGAGACTTGCACCTGCCTCTGAAGAGGGGGCAGTCTTGGGGGACTGAAGCCCTAAGTCTGCAGAGCCTAACTCTCCATCCAGGTAATTAGCGTCAGAATTGAGCTGAATTGTCGTACACCCAGTTGGCGTCTGGAGAATTGGAGAATTG